AATCCTTCTCTAATGATTCCTCTACATTGTCCATAGAATCTCCCAGCAATGTGATGACAAGTATCATGATCTTCTAATATTTAATACTAATAGTAATGGTATTTTTTTGACTTAACAGATCCATTCTGCAGGTATCAAAATAGAATGAAGTTTTTTGATTTTTTACTCTACAACCACTGCAATAAACATGTTTCCTAAGAAAATTTTTACCATTGTTGTAAGTTTTTTGAACAGCAACTGCAATTTGTGGTGGAAATTGCTTTTGCTTTAATAAATATTTACTTATCTAAGAATTAGATACTTTGGAACATCTCCAAATCATTTTTTCCTCTTCCAATGTAATTAAATTTTCAAAAACCTCTTGATATTCTAATTGAAATGAAAAATTCTTGCATTTTTCATACTCAATAAAATCATCCAAGGCTTTTGTATTAGGAATTGCTTTTTCTTCATCTGTTCCCATTAACAGTCCAATTAAGTGATTATTATCTTGAATTGAATTGTTTTTTGTAATGTCAACAATGTCATCATCATCATCACTTTTTATTGTTGAGTCATCATCACTCAAAACTGTCAGATCAAGATATTTTTGCCAGCCATCAATTACCCATTCTAATCCTTCAATATCTGGCTTGGTCATTAATTCATTTGCTGCATCAAACAATAAGTTTATATTCTCTTTATTTAATTTCCTTATAACATTTTTATTTCTTGCCCAATTTTCTAATGCCCAAATTGCAGTTGAATTTGTTAAATCAAAATCTAAATTGAAAGGAGGTTCCATTAATACTTCTTTTGACCAATCTTCCGAGTTAGTGTCATATCCAATTGGTTCTTCTTCAATTGTATCTTCTTCAATTGAGTATTTGCTATCATTATCATTCAATTCATGCTACATTAAATTAATAAAACAATTATTAATTTATTAAATTTATTTTGTATTAAATTAATAAAACAATTATTAAATTAATCTAAACCTAACCATTAAAAAGCATGGTACAAAATGGTTTGCAATCCCTGTTTTTTTAAATGTAGAGACACTGTGACATGTCCACATGATATATATGGGTATGATGTAAACAAGTTGTCTGGGTTCAACCAGACTCGAATAAACTTTTTGCATTACTTGATTAGATTGAAAAGGATATATGCATTGGATTTTTCTCATGAGCACTGAAGATAACCCATATATGATTAATTGAGAACAAAATGCTCTATCTTAAGACATTTTAAATATGTCAAAAAAATATGCATCAATTTTTGGTTGATTTGTGAGAATAGTCTAATGCTTGATCTGTATACAGATAATCAGTTTTAAATATGTCAAGTTCTAAATAATAATTAGAATTTAAAATCAATTCTAACATTGATGCCAATCTAAACCATTTTGACATCTTTTCACTTCCATAAAGAGCTATAGATGCAGTATGAAACAAACAATTTCCATCACTAGTAGAATCTGCACAGATGTAGTTTTGTTTATATTGTTGGGGTAATAGTCCAGTTGATAAAGAATCTACAATAACAGCTGGTGGAATATTTTGGAAGACAAATGAAAGATTATAATCAAAAGGAAATTGCTCATAAATAATTTTACTATGTTCAATGATATTGGAAATTTGAGATAAATTATGTTCAATACAAGAATGTAAATCAACAAGTAAAGTGTTTGCAATAGCTTCAGGGTTCATTTTATTGATTATAAAAAATTGACTAATTAAGAATATAAGGAATATAAAGAATAATACAAGAATTAATTTGATTTCAATTCAAGAAAATTATCCTATATTTATATATCATTACACTTAAAAATAGTAAATACATTGACATATGGTTAAAAATAATGAAGAATAAAAGCAATCTAATAAAAAAATAATAACCAAATGATTTGATAAACTTATGAATTAACCCCAAATCAGTCAAAATAAGATTAATGAATTATTTGAAAATAGATGGAAATCAAATGGTTTGAAATACATTAATACAGTCAAGCCTTGTTTCAATTAAGTGGCTGGACATATAAGAAAATTTTGTTCAAAATCCATCAAAACGAAATTATGTTAATCACATTGGATTTTTATGTTTTCATAACATGTAACAAGGTTTTTAAAAATCTGTTGAAATGCAAATTTAATTATAATCTGTTAAATGCGAATTTAATTATAATCTGTTAAATGCGAATTTAATTATAATCCATTAAATGAGTGTTCAACTGTATGAATATGTGGTTTGGTTTAAAAAAATTGAATGATTTGATAATTAAAAAAATAATAAATTATGAATATGTGGTTCTATTGAAAAAAATCAAATGATTTGATAATTAATTGTAGTCAGTTGGAAAAAAATAATGAATTATGAATATGTGGTTCAATTAAAAAAAATTGAATGATTTGATAATTAATCCTTGAAAATTGGATATGTGGTTAAAAAAATAGCATTAAAAATGCAAAAATTAAATGCATAAAAATTTTTTTTGGATATGTGGTTAATATATTTTATGCATGTTAATTTATATATATAGAAATGTGGCAAAAATAAAATGCATTTAACATGAATGAACATAATAGTATTAATTTTTTTCTATATTTATTTACTATAAATATTTCATTCATCAAATGAATAAATATGGATTCAGATATTTTAATAATATTGCTGTGCAAATTTGCGGATATTTTCGAATATTCTCATGGTTTCATAGAATACTGCGCAAATTTGCGGGTATTTTTGCGGATAACTACACGATTATAGTTAAGAAAAAATTTCCAAAAATCCGTTATATTAAGAAGAATTTTATTTATTAAATCATTCTTGACCTCAATCTGTTGAATCAAGATTCAACTGTTGCACCACAACTATTAATTGACTAAAGAAAAGAAAAGAAAAATGGAATGAAATGAGATAATGAACCACAATTTTAATAAGTCATCTTGCCTAAATACACTGACTCTAACCATTACTATTACTATCAGTTATATTATCTGCTTTGAATTATTCATTTTATTTGAATTGTTTGTTTTATTCAAATAAAGACCTTAACCTGTTTCCATAGAGCCAACGGATTCAGCCATTATGAACTAGTTTAATGAAAAACTAAATGTGTAATAATACCAATATTGATAAATTTTTTTAGTAACAATAAGTAAGACCAAAATAAAATAGCCTATTTACAATGCAGATAATGTTACATTTGCCATATACATGACAGGTCTGTTACAAAAATAGAAAGATATTTAGCACTTAACCAATTTTAGATATAATTATTTACCATTCCTTAGAGGTTGTACCCCATTGAATATTTATTCATTCAATCAATTGATTATTCAGTGAATATTCATTGTTAACAAAAAATTTTAATCATTTTACATTCTATCAAAATTATCAATTTTTTTTTTTAAAAAAAACAATCTTTTCAAATAAAAGTGGATTAAGTTTTGTTCTTTTTGAGGTCATCATTTCTATTAAAAAAACAGCCCATTATCTGAATTTTAATTCCATAAATACTCTTGAAATTTTCAACGGATTTGCAGCAATGGCAAAGCTCATCTTTTCCCTGTAATCTTTCCATGATTTTTTCATAAATATGATACATTTCTGGAGAAAACAGAATTTTAAATCACAGATCAGTTTTTTTACAGGGCATATATAAGTGTGTAATACAATTAATGTAGGTTCACCACAACATTACAATGAACAATAATATCAAAACTTCAGAGACATTGACTTGACAAATAGCTCCTTTAGATTTTCCTCCATCTTCAGTTTCTTCCATCAAGTTCCATACCCAACTTGACTTCTTAGAACCACCTTTACTTTTCATTTCTTCAAAATATGAGCAGCAGAATTCTCTCCCTTCTCATGTTTGTATTATTACTTTCTCCTATTATAGTGACTGAGGCTCTTCTTCTATTTTAATTAATTAAATGGGAATTTATTTGATTTGAAATTTTATTTCAATTCACAAGTTATTGATTATCAGTTATTCAGTGAATATTCATTTTAATTTATTATTAAGGCTCTGAACAGATCAAATCAAAGCCAGATCAGATAAAAATTCATAATTCATAATTTCTTTCATAAATGATTTTTTATTATTATTATATATACATAATATCTCAGATCAGGCCTCAGATTCCAGATCAGTTCAGATTCAGTATTTAAAGAACCAGTTCAGTTCAGTTCAACTTAAACAGATTTCAGCTCAGATTAGCTTAAACCAGATCTGTTTGATGCCTTATTTATTATATTGTTAATCAATCAATGACAAAATCAAATATCCAATTAACCAAATATTCACTGAATATTATTCATTGGATGAAACCTCTATCATTCCTGTTTTTGATATATACTTTGGGATATTTATCATACCATGTGGTATATTACCTGTTATATAATACAATAGTGGCAGGACATCCATGATGGGCATTATGCAACTTTTTGAACATTAATATGTATAATGCGCGTGATGATCTTTTCTATTTAAAATTATTTGTAAATATATATAAAGCTCCTAACAGGTCGGGTTCGGGCTTGGCCCGAATGTTTTAAAGGCAAACCCGAGACCGACCCGAACCCGACCCAAAATTTTCGGGTTGATTACGGGTTAATAAGAAAATTTGTGATTTACATAAATTCAGATAATAATAATTAATTAAATATAAAAGGCGAAACAGTTATAGTGGTTTAAAAGCTGTAATTTGTGTCATGCGTGACGCAAAACACAATTCATGGTGCAAGAGATGTAGAACTCAATTCGTGACGCAAGATGTAATTCAAGACAATTCGTGACACAATACATAATTAAAGACACAAGGCTGGTGGATGACGGCCGCAACTAATCATAGTTTAGGCCCAATTTTGCGGTGAAGTTGGCGAAACCTAAACTGCAGGTGAAAACCGAACGGTCAATTAAACTCTACTGTTTAATTTCCGACCACAAAAGTGTTTTATTGAACAAAAAAAAAGAATTGATTTGTTTTATTATTACAAAACGAATTGATTTTGGTTAGAAAATTATTTTCCTTACTGCCAAATTTAGATATGATGGTCGAGTATTAGTCTAAATTTAGTAATGATAATAAAAAACTAGCCTAAATTTAGCAATGATCCTAGCGCTCAAATCTCTGAGCATAGTAATAGTAAAGTGCATGTTTTAAAAAAGAATAGAGCTCTATAACAAATAAATTTTTTGAGAAAATCTTTCTATTACATTAAAACTAAAGACACATTCTATCAACTAATAGAGCTATTTTTTAAAAGGTAGGACAGAAAATGACTTCTATACCTAATACTCTTAAAAATTTAGGAGGTCTTTAGACCGAGCCAACTATATATCAATGAAAACCGACTCGTGACAATCAATATATTGTGTTACAGTCATCATTATTCTAAAAATGTTTCGATGCTCAAGGTTTTTAAAATTCGGAAATTTATCATATTTCATTCATAAACCAACAGTAATAATTTCAAGAACCATTTCTGCAAATGCCTCAAGTAAACAATAATAGATATACAAGTGTATATATTTTAAATTCAACAAATTATAATGGTTTTTTTAAATTGTATTTATTCAGATAAAGTCAAATATAATTGGGAAGATCCACTTGATCTAGAATCAATGCTGACAAGTGAAGAGGTTGCAATTAGGTTAATATTTTCATTAATTTATTTAAAATTAAGATTATATATTTTTTTTTTTTGGAAAAATGAATGTGTCAGTGTAAAAATCATCGTTAGCAGCATGCATATATATTAAAGCTAATAAAGAATAAAAATTTTAGAGATACTGCAAAAGAATATTGTCAAACTAAACTGTTGCCACGAATTATAGAAGCATATCGACAAGAAAGTTAGTCATAAAATGTATTAACAACACATATGTGTGTATATGATCAAATCGATTAATATCCTCGATACTCACTTTCACTCTTATATATAATAATAGAATTTGATAGAGAGATTTTAAATGAGATGGGGGAATTAGGATTATTAGGATCTACAATTCAAGGATATGGTTGTGCTGGTGTATCATCAGTTGCTTATGGTTTGATTGCACGTGAAGTTGAAAGGTGAGTGAGTGAGAGATAAAGGAGGGAGGTTTGTGATAAAAAAACGTAATGGAGAGTAATTATACATTATGTATTTATTAGGATAGATAGTGGATATCGATCTTCCATGAGTGTTCAATCATCGCTTGTAATGCATCCTATTTATGCATATGGTACTGAAAAACAAAAACAAAAATATTTACCAAGATTAGGTAGGTAAACAAAAAATAAAAAAACTGCAATTTTATGAGAGATGAAATAGGGGTTTTTTTTTGCTTTCAAAGTACTAATCAATAATAATAACACACATATATAGCAAAAGGTGAAATAGTTGGTGCATTTGGATTAACAGAACCTAATCATGGATCTGATCCAGGAGGTATGCAAACATATGCAGATAAAAAAAATGGAGTCTATATACTACACGGGTCAAAAACATGGATCACCAATTCACCGATTGCTGATGTTTTTATTGTCTGGGCCAAATGTAAAGAGGATCACAAGATTCGTGGATTTATATTAGAAAAGGTGATGATAATATATAATTTATATATAATATTTAATTATTTAATTGATTTAATATAAATTTTTAGGGAATGAAAGGATTATGGGCGCCAACAATTAAAGGCAAACTATCGCTTCGAGCATCAATTACTGGGATGATTATGATGGATAATGTAGAAGTTCCTGAAGAAAATTTGTTACCCGAAGTGGAAGGTCTAAAAGTAAGCAACAATTAGAATTTAATTAGTATTTAGTAATTGATTAATCCATCAATTAATCGTCCACAAATCAATTAATCCCAAGGGACCATTTGGTTGTCTTAATAATGCACGATATGGAATAGCATGGGGTGTTATGGGCGCAGCAGAATTTTGTTTAGCACAAGCTCGTGAATACGCATTGAATCGAGTGCAATTTGGAGCACCTTTAGCTCGATTTCAATTAGTTCAAAAGAAATTCGCTGATGCTAATACTGAGGTTCGTTATACCAAACTAAACTTTTACAATTATTTAAAAATTTATTGATTAATTAATATATACAATAGATTGCGCTTGGATTACAATCATGTTTGAGAGTTGGTAGATTAAAAGATGAGCAAAAAGTATCACCAGAAATGATATCGTTAATTAAACGAAATTCATGTAATAAAGCTTTAGATATAGCTAGATCTATGAGAGATGTGTTGGGAGGTAATGGCATCAGTGACGAATATCATATTATGCGACATGAACAAAATTTATGCACTACTAATACATATGAAGGTAATTTATTATATTTATATGGATGTGTGATGTTTTCTCTCTCAATATGAATGATTGATTATTTAATTGAATTTTTTAATTTCTTTTGATAGGAACTTATGATATTCATACACTTATTTTGGGTAAAGCAATAACCGGGGAACAAGCATTTACAGCTTCATAATCTTTGATTTTTATTTCCTCGCATATTATTAATTTGCGATAGTCATTGTTGTTGTAATTCTTTTGATATTTTTACACAACATGGATCAGAATTTATTTATTTTCTACTTTAAAAATTTTTTAATATATATTTTTGTGATTGTAAAGAATTGATTTATTAAAATAATAAATATATTATATATTATATATATTATACGAGGGTAAATAAATAATATTTTAAAAATACCAAAATCGCATTTTATTATATAACTGTCGTTAAATTATTATAAATACATAGTAATGTGTTTTGTATATATATAAATATATATTATATATATTATTCATTATTGGTGATGGAATTTTGTGTTTTTTTTTTTAAAAAAAAAATCAATTGATGAAAAAAAAGGGGAGAAAAAATGTTATTTGAAAGGTGTGTGAAAGAGATGAATATGGAGATTAAAAATAAATATTATCATATATAAAAAATTACATATATATAAAAAAAATTGTGTATATACGAATTTTTTTTTAAATTAAAAATGTGTTATTATTGATGAATTAATTATGATTGTGATTATTTGTTTTTTTTTTGTTTATTAAATTTTTTTGTCATATATAATTATACTATTGATACGTTGGTATCATTTTGTTGATGGATTGTTTCTTCTTTTATACTTTTGGTTTCGCCAGTTCTAGTGTTAATAGCGACAAGACGATCAACATGATAATAAGCCAGTTCACCCATTTCACCTTCGTCTAAACCTTTGGCTTCAGTTTCAGGATCAACTCTGAGTGATAAACCGGGGATCTTATCCATGATAAGTAATAGTATGAGTGTGACAATGAAACTATAACTAAGACCGGTAACGGAGTCAGCCAATTGATAACCAAGTTGTATCCAATTATGATCTAACCATCCACCAGGAATTGGAGCACTACCATCAGCACCGGCAATTGATTGTTGAGCAAATATACCAGTCAATAAATTACCAACAATTCCACCTACGCAATGTACAGCAAACACATCTGCAGCATCATCATATTTAAACATATGCTTTAATTTGACGGCAATGTTACAGAATAAAGCTCCAAAGAAACCAAAAGCAAATGCGGCAGGTGTACCAACAAAACCGGAACCCGGCGTTATGGCAACAAGACCAGCAACAGCACCTGAACAAAAGCCTAAGGCAGAGAATTTCTTTTCAAGTCTATAGTCAAGTAAAGTCCAAGTAAGACCACCAACGGAAGCAGCTAAATTTGTTACGGCACAAGCCATAGCGGCACGTCCATTTGCAGCCAAAGCAGAACCACCATTGAAACCGAACCAACCGAACCAAAGTAAAGCAGTTCCAAGTACAATATTTGCAATATTATGTGGTTTGAATTCATCAGTATCAGTACCATGACCATGACGTTTTCCTACTACAATAGCATAAGCTAAGGCAGCTGCACCAGATGAAATGTGTACAGGTGTTCCACCAGCAAAATCTAAACCACCTAATTTAAAGGACCAACCATTTGGATTCCATGTCCAACAGGCGATTGGATCATATACAATAGTTGACCAGATGAAAATGAAAACGATGGCGGGAAGAATACGACCACGTTCAGCAGCAGAACCAATGGCCAAAGCGGGTGTAATAGCAGCGAACATTCCTTGATATACGGCGAAAACTATGCCTGGAAGTCCTGGTGCAACTTCTGATCGGGTACTATCAACTCCCATGAAGAAAGCATGATCTAAATTTCCAATAAATGCGGTTCCATTACCAAAAGCTAAACTATAACCCCATATCCACCACTATTAATAATAGTAAGATGACAAAATTAGAGATGATTTATTATTTATTTATTTATTTATTTATTTATTAAAATTAATCCATAATGATAATATGGTAACGGTGATAATAATAATAATTTTTTCAGTTAATTACCTGTACAGAAACCACAGCTACCGATAAAACGCTAAGCATGATAAGTGATAAGGCATTTTTACTTCTAGCCATACCACTGTAAAAATAACCAACACCTGGAATCATCAACCATACCAAAGCACTTGCCATTATAACCCAGGCAACATCGCTTCCTTGAATTTCAGGAAGGGCAGGTGCATCGGTAACCTCGGGTGTAGCTTCGGGAGTAGCCATTTTTATTGATTATATTTTTCTTTATTTGGATGATTGATTTGATGACGATAAAAATATTTAGATTTTAATAAATGATGATGATGATGGTGATGGTAATAATGATGGTGAAAAAGGAATATTATTAAGATTAGTATATTATTTTTTTAAGAAAATAAATTAAGATTTTTTTTTTTTCATCAACGAATAAAAAATTTTATCAATTAAAAAAAAATAAAGAAAATTTACCTTTATTTATATTTAAAAAAATCAAGATTCGTAAAGTTAATAGTAATTAATAATGAAAATGAAAAGGGATGTGTTTGAATAAATATTTATATGTTTATAGACACACAACAACACAAGAAAAAAATTAAATAAATATAAAAAATATTTTTTCGTAAATTTTTGTTTTTTGTTTTTTGTTTTTGTTGTTGTTGTTGTTGTTGTAAAGAAAAAAACACGCCCTTTTTATTATTTTTTTAAGAAAAAACAAATTAGATCTTCGAATTGATGAGGTGATAAAAAAATTAGGTGTAACGCATTATATATTTAAATTACAGTAGCTAATAATAAAGTTGTTTAATTGCTGATAAGAAATTATTTACTTGTAACAATAATAACTAACGAGTAAATAGAAATTTCTAATTAATAACTGATTTATTTGACATTTGAAATTTATTACCAAAAATGGCTTATCTATAAAATATATATATCATGCATATAATAAAATATCACATATCACATCAAAATCATATGTAACAATAGTAAAGACATTTTCCCTCTTCCTCTCTCACATACTTGTTCACTTTCAATCAAAATTTAGTTTCAATCAAATTTGGTCTTGATCAAACAAATCAAAAAACCAACTACAATGAGATGAGTAAACATCGGATATTATCACCATTGTTCAAATGAAGTTTATTTCTTTGATTTACGGCAACGAATTGGTGAAAAATAAATCAATAGAGTCAATCAATAGCTTAGTCAATAACCAATATTCGTAAGCATTTAAAAAGTGGAAAGAAAAAACACCATCTAACATTAATTAGAGGATTATGGTGAACGGGTGATCCGAATTACATAACGGGAAAAATTATTGTACATAACCTTTATGTGCATATGATTTTCAAATTTGGTAATTTCCCTTATCGTGAAATTTAATATGCATACAATGCGCATGTGTTTTGTTTGCTTACCAAACCATAATTTTCAAAATAAACACATTTTCTTATCTTCAAAAATTGTCGTCAGTTATCATCCGTAAGTTTCCGATTATAAACCCTTCATCGAATTTATACAAAATATAAAGTGTATGTGCAATGAATACAAAAAGGTCATTGAGGAATTTACAAGAGAAGTGATTTAACCAAAATAACCACCATGGACAATATCATATATCAATTCTTCCCACAATTCCTAATCTAACCAAGTATCTACTAAATCCAACATATCGGAATTCCCCGATACTTAAGATTACAAATAGATACACTGATGTGGTTGGTACATTGAATGATTATGTATGTTGTTGATTATTCTTTATTATTATATGGAATATCAATTATTTATATCAAGTTTTTCCGATTTCTTATTCTATAGGTTTTTTCATTGTTTTTTTTTTATTTGTTACACCAATGGCTTGATATAATCACATAAACATCACGTTACGTATATAATATCGTTTTTTTTCGAAAAAATTTTTTAAATGTTTAGGAAGGAAGTAACTGATAAGATAAAAAAAGATCAAGAAAAAATGATATTTCTATTATAAAAAGCAGGAAAAACAGGAAATTAAAATTTATGCATGATTATCTCATAATTGCTATGGTTATTCTCGATAATCCGATAATCGTACATTTTTCTCTTTCTTGTTATTCTATAAAAATCTATTTCTATATCTAAAAATAAAGATTTTCGTATTAAAGCGAAGTCTAGTTAATTATAGTAGTCATATAACTCAATCTAGGATAGGCAATTCTTTCAAGTCCAAAGATTTTATTTCGTTTATATTATTACATTACCACGTTTTATTAATTGATTGTATTTATTGTTATCATTGCTATTTATATTTGTCATTATCATTTCCTTATTTATTCATATATCCTCCTGTTTGCGTTTCAAAGGCCAGGATCAATTTTAATTGGTCAGAAAGATTAAGGATGTCAAATGTAAATACACAAACATACAGTTCAATTATGGTAAAGCTTCAAAGGTGAGAGAGCGTGAGAGAGCTTTTGTAGATTCATCGGTTAATTCATTACTGATTTTATTATTTTACTGATTTATTATTATTGTTATCATATATTATTAATTTACACCTATGATCAGGATACATTATCTCGCGTCAAAATGACTTGAAATTGCTATCAAGCATTACAAATGTTTATTTTATCTTTATCTTTGTGAGAAAATCAATAAACAAATTAAATTACCATAATGGTAATGGAAATAAATTTAGTAACCCGTTGTCTTAATTAATAAAATGTATTATTATTTGTTACTATCAAAACAATATAAATTAAATTAAATTAAATTAAATTGATTAATTAATTAGTAAAAAAAGACGCGAAAAAAACGAAATTTTTTTAATTATTATTTGTATTTGTATTTGTATTAGTATTTGTGTTTAATTGTAATTATTTATCATTCATTTGACTGTTTTCACGCGATACATTATTTTTCCAAACATTCTCTTGATCATTATTTTTATTACTTGCTTGTTTGTTGTACCACACTACGCTGCACCGCTTCTCTCATTTCCCATCGCCAACCATAACCACAACCACCCATCACAAGCATTTCCATTACTAGTATCTTCTTTATTATTATTATTATCACTGCATCTGATATTTTTATTTAATTATCAATTACATCATGAGACGAAATACAAATACTCTCCACAAAAATACTTTTTTTTGGTTGTAAATTAAATCTATGATCTTGAAATCTTACGTTATACACAACATGTACGTGCGTGTATGTGTGTTATCAATATAAACAAATTTTTTCATTTCTCACGTACAATTCACACTCTCTATAACGAACCTTCCGTCCCTATATGTGATTTTTTTTCTGCCCTTGTTCAAAAAAAAAAATGAATCGGTGACAAACAGGGGGTTCATTGAAAGTTTTTACCTGGGGTTCGTTATATAGAGTTTGTGGACTGTACCATTTTTTTTTTTTTAATCGTTATCAGTAACAGCCCAAAATCTGGTGATGTGCAATTTGATTGTACGTATCACATTTGGAATGTTCCAAATTACGGCATAAATTAGTTGCTTATTCACGGAATGTACAACCAGCAGACTAATATTAAGCAAATAAGTAAATGTTGGATATCTTTATAAACAATAAATAAAATAAATAATTAGATAATAATAGATAATAGATAATAGATAATAGATAATAGATAACAGACAATAACGAAAAAAAAATTTATTGCCAATGAAAAAAATAAGTAGATCATCAATTTCTCAGTTAGCAAGAAAATCGAAAGGTTGACCTAGTGAGACAATTTTATATCTTTATTTATACCTTTATACTTTTACTCCGGGGATAAGTTTCAGCCTTTGGAGGAATATCAATCTTATCGATTTTCGGATGACTTGTCCTAAATTTGACAGGTCCACTGCTCTGAGTTATGTCTGACTATATATATTTATCACTCCAAAGGCTAAAACTTTATCCCTACAGGCGTAGGAATAAAGGTTCAACCTCTCAGGAATTGTCCGCGTGCGATGGATAGATTAAAAAAATTCAAATTGTCAAAATAAATGTGTATATAGGTTCATACCCAGATGCAGAAATCAACTAAATTAAAGCCCAAATAAAATGTTTCCTCGAAATGGGTTTCTTTTAAAATTATCCTGGAGTAATTAAAAAATTCAAGCATCTGATAGGTGGCTCTTTGAGTTTATAAGAAAAATTGCCAAATGGAATCTTTGGATATATGAAGGATCGGCAAAATTCCGGATTGAACTGAGAGAGCGGAACAATAGGCCCAATTCTTTAAATCAAAGTTCATGGATTCATTTGAGAGGCACAAAGCTGAACTCGTCAAAGAAAATCAAAGTGTGATTTGGCAATTATACTAGGAGGTTTAACTTCTGTTGTTCAGCCATCAGACGATCCACGGATGACAAATGGGCTGTGTTAGTTTGACAAAAGTAGTAAGTAATCTTAAAAAACCTGATTATGGTCAATGGATGGAATTTTTTATATGAAGATAACAACAAACGAAGATGACAACAATGATAATTTTCATGACGAACAAGCATTGGAAATTTTATTAGATAATGAAATGGACAATTAAATTAATAAATTAATGGTAGTGTGAGATCGTTAAGGCTCAGAACGAATCAGCAAAGTTCGGACCGATTCGAATCTGAACCGAATCTGATTTGAATCAATAATAATATATAAATAATAATATATGGGGTAGTTATCTAGCAAAAACCGGTTTCGGGTCCTCTTACCAACTAAGTTTTTTACATAATATTAATCTATAATATGCAAGTTATAATTGGTGAACTTTGTTTATATAGTACAAAATGAAATATAAATATTTACAAAGGTCGCCCCAAAAAATTTATCCAATGAAAATTCTTTTGTCTAAATTCGCATTTTAATTTTGCTTCACATATAAAATTCATTGAGATGCGAGTTCCGTTAAAATGAGGTTTGACTGTACTTGCCTTATTCTAGTAGATTTAAAATTTTTAAAATTTAAAGTATTAAGTTTAAAAGTCTGGTTTGATTCGATCCGTTCGGAGCCTTAGAGATCGTACCCGAATCAAATGCATATAACTTCTGTACTTCAATATATTTGGGAATTCTTCTTTGAAGTTAACCTAGCAATACCTTGATCGCTATGCTTGGGAATTCTTCTTCCAAACTACCTCGCTATATACACAAATAAAGAAAAAGAGAAAGAAAATATTTATGAAGAATAATCTTTTATTTCGACGTCGTTCAGAAGAGTATTTTTCAAACAATTGTTTGATTGGCTGTATCCAAATTTTTCA